GATGCCTTCTTGATCCTGGATCCTTTCTTTAAGTGAGTAAATGGTTTCATGGATATCTACTCCCAGGTTTAATATTTGTCCACTCATCAATTTCACATATATTGTTGTTGAACCTCTTGGAATCTTTGGAATGCGAATGCTGGGTAATCTGCTAGGTTTAGGTTGTTTATGTTGTAAATGTAGCGTGGACTCTTTTTGAATATTGTAATATGACAAGGTGTATCCGTCATGTAGTTGCTTGCCGTCAAATATGATATCGACTTGATCAAGAGTAACTCCTTCATCTTGAATCATTTTTTTAAGCTGGTAAATTGTGTCACTCCATCTCACATTCATTTCTATAATTTTTCCAGTTGTCAATTTCACATAGATTAGAATTGGGCCTGTTGAGAACACTGTTGTAGTCGGCATTGACTCGACATGTGATGGGACAATTGCAACTGTTGAATTCTCGCCTCTATCATATTTAGTTTTGAGCAAGTCTCCTTCCTGTGAAACAGATATGTGAGTACTAACTCGTTTCCAAGCAAATCTCTTAAATATTATATACTTCACCTTGATTCCAAGTTTTTCAAGAGTATCTGCAAATCGGATGTCTTTATCATCATATGTAAGCTTGTAGTGACTATAACTCTCTCCTACACAAGCTTGGAAGTTCTTCAACAGTAACTCTCCAGTAGTGTGTGTATTCACGTTAGCTACATATACAGACTTTGTAAGGAACTGAATGCGGATAGGAAATACCGGAGGAGCAGGCGCAGTGGTCAAACGCATTTTGCGACAAGCATTCTTCGTTATCTTTACGATTCAGTGTCTTTATAGTTACCTTCATTGTTTGGCCCTATTAGGAAAGGCCATATCGTAATAACACCGGAAGAGCTGTCCGAGGCGCCACCAATATACGAAACAATTACCTAACCCCCCAAACAAAACTGAATAAGGAACGCGTACTCACTAAACATTGTATCACAAAGAGCTCCTGAGCACAGGGAATAATAATAAACAGCGCAGATCAATCGGATTACACCCGGGATTAATGTATAGAACAGCTTAATCAGCTTATCAAAAATATCAACTGGATTTCAAAGACTAGTACCCAGGTCAACGGAGTGCATTTTCTTATTCATAAAGTAGCGAATATTCGAACGTTACATACTGGATCTGTTAGTAAACTACAATGAAATGCGCAGAGACTTCGAGATATTTGAATAATAAAATTATTCTAATAAATCAGACATCTTTGGAATAAGGTTACCCTTTAATAATACAGATACTCATGATTATGGTTAACATGTAACTAACCCTCACAATCGATATGTCTCTCGTATAGTCAATAAAATATTGGATAAGACAAAACTGAAGTAGAAGTTTACGCATTATTCCATAATTCCGACTGACATATAATAGCTACAGTATTGAAGAAATGTAGATCTCTAATAAAATGCATAAAACCGTAATGAAAGAATTTGCATTAATGTTAAGCTTAAAGTTTACTAACAGATCCAGTATGTAACGTTCGAATATTCGCCGCTTTATGAATATGAAAATGCACTCCGTTGACCTGGGTACTAATCTTTGAAGTCCAATTGATATTTTTGATAAGTTGATTAAGCTGCTCTATACATTAATCCGTTCGTACACCCAAGGGGTGTAAGTTAAGGAGACCCTACCAGGGCCCTTGTAATAATAACCTTAACATCTATCCTTATACAGTCAAACCTCTCTAAGTGCACGTCGTCGGGACCGACGATGCACTTGCAATACGAAAATAATATTGTTGATTAGCTACGTTTTGTTTGTATATAAAGGGCACATATCAAGTTGGCATAATTTGATCATTAACTTCCTTCGACATCATTTCTTTGCTCGAGACTTTTCACTGCATTATCAATCTTTTCCACCTTGGCGTCTAATCTTTTCTATATCCCCCTAATATTTTGAAATTCACCACGAATGATCTTATTAACATTATCGCTGAGGAGTTTCATATCCAATTCGGCAACGGTCGGAGGAATTTCTACTGTAGAGTTTTTAAATTCATTACTTGAGTCTTCACCTACATCACCAAAATACACAATAAGTTATTGTAAATTATCAAGTGATAAAGTCATAGTACAATATTATAGTTATTTACTTTGGTCGTTAAGCTTCTTGGCGAAGCCTGCACGCCTCATTGCCGGTCTTATTTCAAGTCCACATTCCCTGAAATCCTGGTTATCCATTTTGAGGAAGTCGCAACCCGCAATCTCTCGTTCACGCAAAATCTCCAAATGTTTATTATTTAAGAATAAATTTTGTTCCCGTAGAAAATCAATTAGTTTCTCCGTGTCTTTCTTTATAATTCCTTCGGTTGAATTATCTTCAGTAGATGATCGCGGTAAGTTAACGTATTATCGTTATTGCCCTGATGGAAGACATTATTTCATTAAGACCCATAGAAGTAATTAGTAAAATTTTTTATACTACCGAAATCGATCACCCAAGTTTATTCTTACCACAAGAATTTCATTAGAATTTGTATCCTCCGCTTCAGCTTCAATTCTCGCCTTCTTCGCCAATTCGTCTTCATCCATGTGCTCATCATTCTCTAAAGAACATTTTCGACTATGCTGACAAATTGTTTCTGCAATACATCAACTTGATCTGCCAATTTTTTTGAATACTCGATTCTGTTTATATACTTTCTTCATCGGAGATCCTTGGCAAAGCAGAATGTACATTAGTGAATCATTTCACTGCAAAAGCTTCCAACTAAAATATACAAAGGGAGTTTCGAGCTAAGAGCCCACCACACTTGAACCAAGAGTTAAGGTTACCACTAAACTAAGAGTTCAGCCTCCCAAGGAAATAAAAAGAAGTTCGGGCTAGGAGCCCACCACACTCGAACCAAGAGTTGAGGTTACCGCTCTAAACTAAAAGTTCGAGCCCTTCCAATTCCTTACTAAGAACTAGAGTCTAACAATAACTGTAAACTTAGCTTCCAATTATTGAGTAGTTCTTGGGCCTTCATTCTACGTGTTACATCGAATCCAAACTCGACATCTGCCACCTTCGTAAGATTTTTTACACTGTCAAGAATTTTTGATAGTTCATATATGTTTTCCTTGCAGTAATAGTTCATTCGTGGACCGGAGTAATCCAGTAAAAATTAAGTGTAGTAGTTACAGAAGTCATCAGTGTTGGTGTGCGATTCCCGTTACGCGCCTGTAACTGATCAACTTGAAAAAAAAATATAAAACATCTAAAACAATCATAATTGATCTATTATACAATATTTTTTATTGTTTGGTAGCACTAATTGATAGTATAAAACCAGATAGCGTGTATATAACGTGACCGAATATAGCATTCGCGCATTTAATGTTTTCATTAAGTAATCTGTTCGGGGGACAACAACGCAAGATCGCAAGAGCAAGCTAACGCAAGCTATTGATAAAATTATAACGCAAAAGATTGAGGAAGTGGACTGCAACATTAAACCAGATCCAGCTATCAATAAACTCTTAATACGGGAGCTAGAAAATGAAATTAAAGATTTTATATTTATTCGCAAACCCACAGTTAAAAATCCTGTTGCTACTAATAATAATATATAAATCGCAAGATGTATTTTTACTCTTTTTTTGTCTATGTGTCCCAGCGACGGAAATCAGCCACGATCACCAAGCCGGCATATAATATATCGTGCGAATAATTATCGACATATTCATCGTCTTCCTCTGAGGAGACTGCAGCTCGTTTTTTATGTACTTGCAGAAGATGTAGCTAGACTGACGATGTATTGTACTTGTTCAGGAGAGTGCTTTGCAGCAAAAAAAGGGCACGTTCTCGGATGGTTTGCACAATAACGGCGCGTATTAGTAATTTTCATCGTTTCATCAAGTAGTGCCACCTCTCCCAACTGTTTCCATATGCATTTCTATTACTTTTGTTTGCCCATTCAATGTAGAAATATTCGGTCAGTGGGTGTGGTGGTTTTCCACCTTTGCGTGGCATCGTGGAGTTGAGTATATATAGCTCAAGTTAAAGACGGGCTCACCAGGTCAGTATAATTCAAAGGAATTGCGCTGCTTCTTCTTTTGGGAGCTAGGCTCTCGATCCATAACGTTGACGCGTTTTGAATTACCTCCGAACGAGTTTATGAGTAATAAAACACGTGATAGCCTTTTAGGAAAGCTTAATTATTTTATACAGTTTTTGCATTGCACCATTTTTTGTGAAGGCAGTTATTTTGTAGCTGTCTAAAATATTATAGCTTGGAACCGGCCTTCTTTTATTAGACAGGTATCCTCCAGGAAAGTATACACAATCTTACGAATCAATCAAAAGTTTCCTCTTCATTAATTATTAGCTAATGTCCAAACCGGAGTAATGGTTCATTTCCTAGAGAAGCAAATATACTTGTAACAAAATTCCCTGTGGAAGCGAGCTAAAAAAACTCGCGTTTCGGAAGGTTCATGTGAAAAGTTAGATAAACAAAACTATCGGCAATTAGAGTCGAATAGCTCCGTGCGTGACTTATTTCTACTGTGTTGGTGGTAATAACGTTTTCAAAAATGATTTAGTTTTGTTAAACATGAATTTAATGAATCGCGCGAATTTAATATTAATTTTTTATCTAAAGGGAGAGAATTTCCCGTCTTTCCATTAGCCCTACAGATTACCATGTTTTTCACCTAATACTAAATATACGCACTTGTGCCTAATCGCCAATCGCATAAATAGCAGCATATGCAAATCCTGCTGCCGCTGCACCCACAAGGGCAGTCTGTATAGCATTCCAACCAGCACTTTCAGGAGCAACGTAATAAGATTTAGCGTATCCGAAAATCAATAAACATAGTAAAGTTACTATGCTACTCCAAATTAGACCAATTTGAGTGCTGTCGAAGAAGAGATAAGGTACTAGGGGTATCAAACCACCGACAAAATAAGAAAGACCGATCGTCAGAGCGCTGATCTGTAAGCGTAATGATGAACAGAAAGTTTAGAGTGAGCACGAGGAAAAAAAAGCCCCAAGCGCGCATGCTCGCGGAAAAGAAAAAGTAATTATCATCTCAAATAATAAATACGTATATCTTGGATCTCTATTATCTTACCCATGATCTTCTCGGATCAGGCCTTTCGAGGTTAAGTTCAAACCGCATCATAAAGTCAACAAATTTTTCTGGATTAGCGCGTAGTTTTTCAATCACGGGCGCTAAACTCTGCCTATCAAGACCGTAGGGTTCAAGAATATCTATACAAACAAATAAATGAATTAAAGGTCGTCCCATGATCTATTTCGTCCAACAGCTTAATACATACCAATAATCTCTTGGATCTCCTCTTCCTCACTCTCTTCTACTTCCATCTCTTCCCGCCGTCGTTCGGTATAATAGTGATCTGCTTCACTTCGTGCAGCAAGATAACCGCCGAGTCCCATGGATATGGCACCAGATATGAGCTCTACATAAGCAACGTAAAATAGCTTGTTAATTAATAAGTTATCTGTAGAACAAAACTACAGGTTGCTCTTATTAGTTATGAGCTCAGAGAGAAGATTGAATCAACATGAACAACTAATTATGTTACTTCAGCAGCAAAATAACGATACTTATTATGGGTTGTCTTCATCAAAATGTCATTTCCACTTTATACCATATAGGTCACTTACCAGCAATACCTCCTAGAACAACAAAGCTTGTCTTCCCAGTAGAGGCCAAACCTGCCGCAAGAGCAAAGGGTACCTATGCATACACAAAGTTTAAAAAACAACATTACGGTACAACCTATCAGTTCGCCTACCCATCCACACTCACAGTCAGTCCATCACTCAATCCAATTACGATATCTCGTAAAATTTCTGGTGACTCAAAATGAGTCTCATTATGGATGAGTGGCTCCGATTCTCTTGAATTTCTCTTAAAAAAAAGTGGCAGGAGACAAGACATTGTTAAATTTTTTGGCTGAAAAACGAAATTAGTTTGTAGCATTTATTGGATTCATCAGAGATGGTTATTGATTGGTTTGACAAAATTTCACGATTTTTTTATTATTAATATTTAATATTTGTAAGATTAAGCTCCATTGTCATACGTTACACTGAATATATTTACCAGCTTTTTTACTCGCATTCCGGAGCGCATTACTTTCTCCCACTTTCGTCATGAGTTTTCCATACCCTTTACCAACTACGGGATCAATATCATTTGCTGATTTTCTCCAAGATGCAGATAACAAATATTATACCGAGATATCAGAGGCGACTGCTCAGAGAGGCAGATTGAGACTGGATTTGAAGGAAGCTAAAAGAGCGGAGGGCGCGAAGGACTACAATAAAATTATACAAGTGGGTTGAGTAATCAATGCATCTTGGGGAGTAAAATCCGTCTTACGTGCAATAATATTTTTTCCAAGATAATTGAAGATAACGATGAAGCTAATGTCAGATATACATAGGCAATTGATGATTATCTGCCGTATCTGCTGGCGATTGTCGACTGTTTGGAAAGCGGTGAGGTGAAATTGAGGAAGGAAATAGGTAAGTGTCTGCAGTTTGTCGCCATGTTGATGTGCTTTTCGTTCGTTATAATCATCATTGTCGTTATCGTGGTTTAGTATGATTGTAACTGACTTGATAATTTTATAATTTATTCAAGAAACATCATGGCGCTGTTCGTTGAGTGACTCGATACTAAGGGAGAAACCACGGGTTGCATGCAAAGGAATCTATTATGAATTGATTTTCGTTCTGTTAACGTACGGATACGCTTGTTCCAATTGGGCATCGAGTATTATAAGCAGACAGTCAGAACAAGAAGACGCCGATTTCGCGGCAAAACAAGTATGTATAGAGCGTGTGCAGAGTACTGGGATGAAGCATTGGAACGTATGAGGGGAGTTTATTAATAGCACGTCGTATTTATTTTATGAGGCTGCTAATCTGCTATGTAGAGCTGCGGGTGTGTTCGCGTATATTTCCAAACAAGTATGTCCAAAGTGGGAGAATCCACCTTCATCGAGACCCCCTGATGTCTACAGCGATATTTCAGCGTCCCTATCAAAGTATGTCTATTGCTTTATTTTGAATAATGCACTTGATTTATGTATGTATGTAAGTTTGTTTGTTTGTCTTAAGAAAGTTACATTGCTTTCAATAGAGTTGTCTTGGCGGACGCTTCATCCATTGCCATTCGGAAACATGCGACACAAAGGTCGTCGTCGTCTCTTTCGGGAAAGCTGGCGATAGGTATAGCTGGAGAGTACGAAACTGCCAATGGGTTAATTAAAAGTCTTAAAGATCCGTCTAAAGTCTGTACGGAATTTAAGAAATACGTCGTCAATGGAGCGCTATTCCATCAGGTATTTGAGTTCCATCTATTGTTTAATCTTTAAAACGCTATCAATATCTTATTGACACATCGAATGAATCACTTTCTTATCAGGCACTTGGCAAGAAATTCCTGGCCAAAGATGCCAGCGAACACCAGTAAGCAAACTTGTTGACTTGGCAATTATAATAGAGGGAGGGGGATGTGTGTATCTTTTTTTTTTCCAATTGATGATGGTTTGCTGGTTCTATTACAACAAGAGCGAATGGTCAGGCGGTCGGATTCATAACCGAGGCTAAAGACATATTTCGACAACTATCGAAATCCAAGTCTTCGGCTATTTCCGAGCAAGCGGCTCAAGAATACGCTGAAACGAGTGAACTGTGTCATACCTACACCAAGAACAACAATACGGTGAGCGTATTATGTGGTAACAGTATATGATGATTCGTGCAAGCTGTATAAACAACTGACTATTCTCCTGGTAAATAGTATTCATTTGATAGAATCCCTTCCAAAGCCGACCTGCAGACACTTACGCCAGGAGGACGAATGGCGTTAGACCTGACCAAATACACACCACCAAAACCAGCATTTGGGCCCAAAAAAGATGAAGCTCGCGAAGGTGATGATCTCCTAGGTGGAAAGTACTACTAAATTGTGATCGACATTTTTTAAATTATGACTCGCGTCTCAGATTTCTTAGTCTCAGGAATAGTAAATCTGTGTTTAATGAATTATCATTATCGCATAATAAATTAATCTTCTAAATCAAGGAATTTCTTCAATTCCCTCGCCTCGACTGCTTCTTCAAATTCTTTGAACAACTGGAATAATGGATATTGAGCATAATGTATTATTACCGTAAGATGTTAGATAGAATACGTTCCCGACATCATATTAGCCTTGAATCCATTCACAACAGCGTTTTACTAACCCCTTTAAATTCACCATCTGTGAATAACTGAGGCAAACCAACAGCTCCTCTATTTCTTCTTTTCATGTATTTCAGTGCGTCCTCATCAGCAGCAACATCAACGAATTCGAAAGGAATCTTGTGAATGGTTAACACTGTCTGGACCCATTCTTGATTTTTCTTGACCTTTAATGTATAAACACGGAGCGTTAGAAATAAAACATGACTGAGACAACATAAATTGACATAGCAATTGGCGTACAAATATGTTGCCTGCGACACTTGAGCCATAAACCTGAACGCGTGGTTTTTCTGTCGTTTCTGAAGCGGCAGACATGGTGCTTAAGGCGGTTGAAAACGAAAAGTTTAATGTTACCATGAACATTTTAATCAACAATGTGTGTCGCACAACGCAACAAACACCGCGGTAACACGGAATGTTTGCCTCGCGACATACAACAATCACTATTACTATAATATACAGCTTTGTCCTATACAGAAGTTTTAGTTAATTCTTGGACAACGTCAAAGTCGGCTATTTGTTGTCTGTCATAATATTGTAAACCATAAGTTTTTATTTTGTGCTTCAATTGCCTTCGTTCAGTTTTTTCCTACTTTCAGCCTCTTTTATAAGAGCAATCAAGATTGTATTGTCTATAGATCGAATTTGATAAATAACTAGAAGTAAGACGAAATTCGTCGAATCCCCTCCATCAAACATAGCCTCGTCCACCGTTAACGAACGTATAGACAACAGAGACAACAACAATAAACAAAAAGCCAAACGACCAAAAATGCAATAGAATGTCATACAAACTTTAATGTACAATTTACGTATACCGTTAATTTTTTTACCACTTTCTCTTCCGTTTGTTAACTTCACTTTAATGGTTTTCTCTCGTAATTGCTCTTTAATTGAGCGAAGAAACCCAATTTTTTTTACGCAGGAAACATTATTTCCAATCGATGTACTGTACTAAATTAAGAAACACACGTTTGTCTTTAATAGGCATAGGCAAAAAAACGTTGGGCTGGCTTATGCCGCAGTCGGCGTACTACTGTTTATGCCAAATAAATTGCTAAAAAAATGCGTGAAAGCGATAAATAGCATTTCTACAAACCATCAAAACCCATCAAAAGTACTTTGGCAACATGCCTGCCTCCTCCAGGTCCTACACATTTATACATACAGATATACACCATACGATCAAATCTAATAATTCCAATGCAATTAATACCATACAAATTCTAAACACTGCACCATCAACCAGCCAATTCCATCTTTGTCAAGAACAAAGTCAAAATTCTATTACCACTCCCACTCCACATGCAAATGTCCACATTCCAAGAGATTTTATAATTTCAGATAACAACATTTCAAATTTACGGCCGTCGAAGATAATGCCATGGCGACCAACTACCCGTCTTCGCTCAATGGAAACCATATGACACAAACATAATCTATCCAATAAAAGAACATTGTCCAGATGCAGAACTAATTCTGAGGAATAATAACAATCACAAATCGTTATACCAGTTTGCAACGACAACAACGAAAAAATGAAAAGTCTAATATATCGCAATAAGGAATATCAATGACTGTATCAAATAGTATTAGCTTACTAAACACTATCAAATGAATAAAATTGATTCCACCAATTCTTTTCTTTGCCGAAATAAAAACAAAGCCTCCGCAACGTTGCCGCCTAATACTGCACATAGAACATCCTAGTTATTAATGTAATATAGTAACATGTTAATATATATAGGAACTTCATAGGAAATGTACTTTGTGAAGATAGCGCGCGGCTGAATACAGTATTGACCTGACCATAGCAAAAAAGTGCTTATCTGAATACGTTAGTTCTTTATTATTTATCACGCTAACGAAGGCGAAACTGCGGTGTTTTTATGAGGATGGTAAAGCCAGGTTACGCAAAAATTGATCATGGCATGTGATATTGCTCTGACAGGCGTCCATGACATGACACATCCGAAGCGCATTAGAAATATATTTATCATCGAGGATCACACCTAAAGCGTCATTGGTTTTATTATTACGAAACGAAAAAACATTGCCTGTAATAAGGCAGATACAAAAAATTTTGCGAATATATTACTGTTATGATACATGTGAATAAAAACAACTAATTGTTTGAATCGGCATGTTCACCGGAATTCTCTTCGCTCCACTCCTGGAGACATTTTTCAAAATACTCCTCCATAGGATCTTCACACAATTTACTGATGATATCATCTTTTTTGGTGTTCTCACCATTCAGATATTCGCAATAAGCTTCATTTAATCTATAAACTTTGAGTTCCTCACAGTTTTTGCGCAGATAATTTGGACCAGGTGTATTACAAATATCCATCCTCGGAATGTTAGCCACAGTTTTCGCATTATTCCAACTATCTTCATTGAAGTAAAGGTTGGCATGGGCATGACATTCTAACACGTTCGGATCATTCCTTAGCTCCGATTCCCATGTACCAAAGTTGAATGCTACGAGATAAAAACTTAATTGTTGTTGCTTAATAAGAAGAAATTTCCAGAAATCGGTCAATTTGACTAGGTCTTCGTTTTCCATATGTTTCGTAGGAACTAATAAAAACATTCGGAATAAATCTCGTCGCAAAGCAAAAAGGTATCCATCGGGATCACAAACTTTGTTGGAAAGACTTTCTATCAAAAGTTTATCGGGTATGTAGAAAGCGCAGATTTTCTTGCGAGCATCCTTAGTTTCTACGGAATCTTTACATAGGAACTTTGGATGAGTCCATTCTATTGGAAAAGTATCATCACAATATGTTATTTTATGCTGAAAACAAAACGAATAACTGTAATCAGAAACAGTAACGTTTGGTAATAACTCACTTTTACTATTACAATTACAGTTTCCTGTTTTTTTTAAGGTATAGCAGACGTCAAATGCATTAAAATCTTCTAACTCTTTGTTGTTATTTTTCTTATTTGGAGTTGGTTCAGGTAGGAATTGTTGCATCACATTTTCGGTATATTTTTTTGCAATTTTTATTGCTTCCAGTCTGTCCATGGGTTGAAGAAATACATCATACCATGCCGTGGTCTTGAGGGAAACACGAAATTCTACAACTTTTTCGTAATTGTCAAATTCGACCTCCATTCGGTATGCTTCCGTTAGACGTTTATCAGACTTAACTTTTTCCAAAAGTTGGGTAGCGACACTTGAAAATGTTCTTGCTAAAGTTTCCGGGTTTTGATTGAGAGATACTTTACATATAAAGTAGGGCTCATTAAGAGCGTCTGAAATACATATACTCATCGCTGTTCTTTGGCTCTAAAAAACAATTAGATTTTGCATGTATTATTTATATTCAAAAAAATTGTTACTTACGATTATATTGATTCATATACTTTGTCAAGAAGAGTCGATTATCAATCCAAGTTTTTATAGTTAATCCTCAAACTTGTTTATATATTATTAATCACTGCGGTCTATGACAAATATATGAAATAGGGGGAATGAAACCCCTTTAAGCTCGAGATCGCTCCTGCAAGTCAAAGTCGGTCAACGCAGCGATGATCTTACAATCTCAGAAATTTTGAACCCCCATAACTGTCATTTCTGATAACGGCGCCGATATAGATAGGAAACATCGGACTCTTGATTCTTATTACCTTTTTGAGTTTCGTTTTTGGTTCTTATCGTAGAGCGAGCGAACTAAACATGTAGTTAGATTTACGCATGTTTTACGAACTTCTATGTTAAGAGGCTTCGCCTCTCATGATCATAGACTAATGACAGTTGCCTTTCGTTCTCGTTGGATTCTCAGAAAAATGTTGGATTATAATTTAAATATTATTAAAAAATGGTAAAACTAACTTTAGATGATGCCTGTGCAATTGCTGAAAGCCGAGGTGGACAATTTCTCTCCATTCAATATATTAATACTGAAAGCCCATTGAAGTGGAAGTGTAGCAATAATCATGAATGGATTGCAAACTTGTGCGATGTAAAATATAAAAATACGTGGTGTCGAAAATGTATGTCTGATAATCGAAAACTTGGTCTAAATACAGCCCAAAATATAGGGTGGTGAATGTTTATCAAATATACTGTATATATCAATAGTCATGATAATTTACTTTGGAAATGGTGACAAGGACATGCCTGGTATGCTTCTCTCCATAATGTAAAGAAAGCACGTGGAACTTGGTGTGCTAAATGTAATGGTTGTTCAAAATTATTGCTATTAATCTTGCAAAACAACGAAAAGGTAAATGTCTTTCTAAAAATATATTAATAATGTCGTGACGTTACACGTGGGAGAGCGATCGTGTAACCTCCTTGAGATTTAGCGTCTTCTCTGTTTAGAACAAGCATTTTCTTCGATAAGTCGAGCTTCGCATTATATCTGAAGAGGAAATTTGTGCCTAATATTATATCTGCTGTCGCTGCTTCCGTTATACACGCATTTAGTCCCCATGTTGGTCCGTTTTTCTTGAATCTTAGGGGTAAATTTTTCACTTCTCCTCTAGGTCGTTCTCTATGTCCTGTTACTCCTTGTATCTGATAATCCGAACTTTCAAGGATAGGTTTCTTCTTCATTCTTCCAGTGATAAGATCGAAAATGTTCACTAGAAATAATTGTCACTGAGGATCCAGTATCGACTAGAATCCTACTCTCCACTTCCTCTACAAAAGCGCTACAATATGTAGGTCCTGAAACGTCAGAGTCCCCATACTGCTTTGCTCCTTGTGAGGGTCTTATACGATTGCCACTGTCAGAGCCCTCTACTGACGTGGCTGACCTTTTTCCTGTCCTTGATTGTTCTGTCTTGGTACTGCCCAATTTAGCTTTCTTCCCTGTCTAATGTCTCTGGCCTTAATTCTGCATTCTCGGTGTATATGCCCGTTATTTCCGCAATAGTGGCATCTGGGCCCACTTCGTCTGTTGTTACTGCTACCCTGTTGAAATCCCCGATTGTTGTTATTGCTCGCATTAGCCGGAGAGGTCTTCAATTCTGCCAATTGGACTTCTAATGCCGAAATTTTCTCTAGTAGCGCGTTATTGACTTCCGCACTATGTGATGGTTGCATTGTCGACTGCAACGCGTAATAGCAATTTGTCGCGGCTTGAACGGCATCAGCCATGGTCTGTGGTGCCTGTTGCTTAACTGGTAACCTAATGGCTGGCAATAGTTCACTAGTGAATTGGCTGACTTTCATCCATTCTGGGATGACTGCAGCGTCGCCGCATTCCATCCAAATTTCTTCCAATGCGCTTAAGTAATCGTTTACCGTTTCAGTAGGTCTTTGTGTTCTTGCTTGCGCCTGTTGGGATGCCTGAGCTTTATTTGCCTCTGTCGCGTATTTAGCGAGGAATAATTCCTTAAAACCGTCGACATCATTTGCTCTAATCCAGGTGGTAGGCTTAGGATTGAGGGTAACATACCACATTTTCGCTGGTCCTAAGTTCATAACAGCGAGGCCTATTTTTCTCGAATTTGCTGCGTCTTGAATATTGTTGGCGATGAAGGCTATCTCCATATCAAAAATCCACTTACGCGGATTAGTGCCGTCGAAAACTGGGTAGGTTGTTTGTGCCATTTCGTCGTCGTCTAATTGCTGTTGTTGCGGGGGATTATTAATGGGCGGATTTGGATTAGGTACTGCTATTTGAATTGGCGGATTTTGGGCTGGTTTAGCCTTCTTTGGTTTCTGAACCTTCTTTACTGGCGTAACTGTTTCGGGGTCGATATCTGCTACTACCAAAATTTCGGGTATTTCTTGCTTCTGTTTACCCTTATTTTTCTTATCTGCAGTAGAAGATTCCGGTTGCGGCGTTGATATTGTCGCCGTATACAATTGCTGAGCGCTGTGAGTTGCCTCTACTAAATTATATCCTAAAGCAGAGTGACCAGGGGTAAGCGGGGGTGTAGTAGTAATTGTTTCGTCACCGTCTTTGTTGTTGTCTTGGTTGGCTTCGAGGTATTCGCTTTCTGCGCGTTTGTCTGACTGCGTATCCGATTTTGGGCTATATGATCCGAGACTTTTTGACTTTTGATTAAAGAAATATCCTACGAAAGCTTTGGTCTTTTCCGTAAGAGTAGGTTGTGATGATAAACTTGTTCCTGAGCGTGCTAATCGATGAATATAATCGTCAACGTCTTCTGAATAGGTTGTAAGATTCGCGGTTGAAGGATGTTCGTTGACTTCGTTGTAGGGAATATCAAAATTAAACGTTCGTTGCTATGCGGCCTACTCGTTTGGAGTTGCTTGGAAAACTATGCTTCGGAAAAGTTTAACAACTGCGACTTTACTTTCTCTGTGTTGCAGAAATTCTTCGAACGCGTCTACTGTTTGCTGTGAGTAAACCGGGTCTAGCGGCTCGACAGTATTTAGAAATTGTTGAATTCTGGACTGAGCGTTTGTGTTATTGGGTGACACCGGAGACAGGCTTTACAGGGAAAATGTTCTAATGCTCGCTGAAAATTTGGGGAATTTTCTGGTAATTTTTCGTGTACGAAGTAATGTCGGAAGTACTGAGCAGTATTGTAAGTAATTGTGCCTTGGAGGTTTGTCAAATTTGGACTATCCACGGTTGCAAATTTTGTCGGAATAAATTTTCGTGTTTTCTTGGATTTTGCTGTTGTTCGGAATTACTGATTAATCTGTAGAATGTATTGTCGTGTTCTTTTGGATTATTGAAATCCACGGAATCCCCACCAACTATCGTGACGTTACACGTGGGAGAACGATCGTGTAACCTCCTTGAGATTTAGCGTCTTCTAACGGCGATATCGGCAGCGCCTACTAATGCTAATTCTGCTAAACAGTTAGTGACCTTTAAACAGGCTTTGAATACTTACGAATGATTCGTATCGTATACGCTAATCCGTAGATATTTATTTAACCTCGAGTATCTGTTCAACGATTATGATCTGATGGGATTATTTTCGGAAATCTATCGTTTGGGAAAGGTTTTCTAAACTAACGCGTTTATAGACAATTAAATAAATATCCTGTATAAAACCGACAGTATGCAAACCTAGGGGCAAGACTAAGTTTGCAACAAAAAGTCCGGATAGCGGTTTAGCTGACTCTCTGAACGGTGAATTCTTAAGAACCACAGGATTTAACTGACCACACAAATGATTTAAAATCAATAGTCAGAGTTTATTAGAATATAAAGAACTATTCTAAGGACCGTTTGTATATTCGTATGATAAAGGAATAAAAGTATTTGTGACAATCTTAGCTGAAGATCTAATGATCCAATGAACGATGCTGGATGATGAAGGAAAACGGCGCGCTTAAATAACTATTTCTTGTCTAACTCTAGGGCGGCGAAAACTGGATATATTGGGAAAGTACCACTAATTAATAATGTTCTAATTTTACCAACGTCTGTTAGCCCGATATGGTCGAATTTGGCCGCCCGTACAGATGGCCCGATATATCTCAAATCGGCCGCCCTTGTACAAGATCTAGGCCCGTGCCACATTGGAAAATCTACGCCGCAGGACTTGTCGATCGTTAACCGCAGAACTTGGAATTCGTGTAACTGAGCGGAAATCTCGGAGGAATACTTAGACGTTAGAACTCATCCATGACATTACTAATACTGATTTTTGATATCAATAGTACTAGTGTATCTATACTGCTTACACTATTACTATATACGAAAATGATAAAATGGGTTCAACATGTGTTATACCACAGAGCAGCAGCCAAACAAGGAGATGCCAGCACTCAATATAATCTTGCTTTACGTTATGCCAATGGAACTGGAGTAGAAAAAAATGAACAAAAAGCAGTTGAATGGTATGAAAAAGCTGCTGAACAAGGACATACCAGTGCTCAATATAATTTTGGTTGGTGTTATATGAATGGAACTGGAGTAGAAAAGGATGAACAAAAGGCAGTTAAATGGTATGAAAAAGCAGCTGAAGAAGGGCATGCCAATGCTCAATATAATCTTGCTTTATGTTATGCCAATGGAACTGGAGTAGAAAAAGATGAACAAAAAACAGTTGAATGGTATGAAAAAGCAACTGAACAAGGCCATGCCAGTGCTCAATATAATCTTGGTGTATGTTATGAAAATGGAACTGGAGTAGAAAAGGATGAACAAAAAGCAGTTGAGTTATATCAGAGTGCAGTAAAACAGGCACATATGTCAATACAAGTCAAAAATAGCAAGCATTATAGCAGAATGGCAGGAGCTGCAATTGACATTAAGAATGTAATTGACTTGTGTCAATTAGGAGCTAAAAAAGGAAATCCTTATGCCCAATATATGCTTGGTCTGTATTATGAAAATGGGGTTGGAGTAGAAGCAAATATTGAAAAAGCACTTGAATTCTATGAAAGAGCAGCTGAGCAAGGATATAGTAAAGCAAAAAATAAGGCATGTATTTTTTATGAAAATGGCTCAGAAGTAAAGGAAAAAATTAGAGAGAAGATTGAGTTGTATAAAAGTGATAAGAAATAGGTTTGTTGCAGAGCTTTTGATATTGACATAAGTTAAAATTACAAAGGTTGTAACTGGGTAGTAAATTATGTTTGCTGAAAACAAGTTATGAGAATTTGAATTTTTATATTGGTATTATGGCAACAATTTATAGGAATAAAAGGTATATTTGTTACAATATGTTCCACATAAAATACTATCACTGTGTTGGTCACTTGAACAAAGTTAAGTGAGGTTTCTATTTCCAGCCAAAATAATTTCATATAAGGTTAAATATGCACAAAATCGAGCATTTTAATTTGGTTTGAACTTGATATAAAATTTTTTTTGATAGTGAGATGATTGCAGTTGTGGTAATATTTATCATGTTAATATCTACCATTCTGCAGTTATAATTTATAAACAAAACCATTTGCTAAAGGGTAATTTTGTTTAAAGTTGAGAACCTTTTATTCTTTGAGGTGCGATTTTTTTAAACTAGTACTGGCATGATGAAGGACAATTTAAATATGACAATAATTAGTTTTCTTCGCGAGGCGACTGCGTCTCTTCACTGTGACAATAGAGCTCGATGTTTGGTGATGAGGCCACCAATTTAGCCAACTTTATTATTATTATATCATTCAACTATCTATTCCATAACATCACACATAGCTATTAATTATCCATTTTAGAGAATAATTCTTTTTCTAAACGAATGATTTCCTATTGCTTGGCAAAGAATACACCCCCTGCCAATCACTTCTTGAAATTTACTAGTAAAACGTATGAAATAATTTTTTTCCAAAATCTCAATTGTGTGTATTTACTATATAAATTGCAATAATTTTGATACCATTGTAAAGCTAATTGATTGTATTTTTCGAAAAAAATTGTGCTAAGTTTGGTTCCGTTATTGCACTAAAGCAGATACGTTCGGTGAAGTGATAGCATGTGTAATTTTATACATTCTTATACGTGTAACATTATACTAATACCAGCCACTTTGTTACGATTCACATAGTAAGCAAAAAAAAAGATTTTTTTATTTGTTTTACTAGGAAGTGACGGCAGGGGGTGTATTTGACTAGTACTGTATAATCCATGTTTCGTACTACAGTTGTCGCAGACGGCGAACATATCTGTGGAAGAGATACAGTATATTCTCCAACGGCTATTCGTAATATAAACCCCCGTTAAATGAGAATTGCAACGTTTCTAATCTTAATGGCCTATTAATTTCGTAATATGTATTTAATAATAACATTGCCGTTTCATCATACTAATACGGACGAGGACGAAATATATATCACCGAAGGTCAGATACAACATACTGTATGTGCCTGGAATACTAACGGAGAAGAAATGCGTTCTCACATAAAATATTAATATCCATTATATACTATATCGTAAATATTATTTCGTTAGTGAAGGTTAGTTTTTGCCGCCACGTTAATATTTTTCTTTCCAATGTAATGCTTCTGTTGGATTTTCATCAAAATATCGTATTTCGCTTCGTGTCTCTATTACACTCTTGGCTTCGATACTTTAATATTTTGGCATAGGTTTCCCTCATTAACGACATAATATTTAACTTAAAACAAATAACGATAAATTTACATAGTTTTGCAACGATAATAAGTTTACTGTAACTTTATTGGATCGAACGAGTGTTAACCTTCAAACGAGTATATTAAACTCTCGTGTTATACATGTCTAACTACGAACGCCTTTTTTGTACTAAACATAAGGTCAGTCTTTCTAAACTGAACACTCCTCATGCTTCACTTATTGGTCATCAAGAGATAACGCAAAGCATCGATAGACGAATGCCCAGCAACTTGCTTATTAGTCGATGAAGAGAGCTCACATCAAAGTGTCAATTAAGACTATAATAATAATAACCGAATACTTCTCATGCCTTGCTTATTAGTCGTCAAGAGATTACGCCAAAGCATCGATAAAAAATACTAGGCAGCTTGCTTATTAGTCACTAGTACTAGGGTTTTTTACATCAAAGTATCGGTATCGAAAATAAAGAACAAAGACAATGATATTAATAATACGATCGATAATAATTTCAATAATTCCAATAATAATGACGAATATAAATATTTATTACAAGAGATGAAGACACCCCAGGGAGGTAGTTCCAGTTTACCTTTCAGCAATAACTGACTTACTTTTTTCGCCTGGAGAAAGGGTTGTTTATATAATGAATTTTCTATCACTATTTAAATTCGTCACTTCTGTATGCCATTTTTCTCTCAGACGTCTACTCGCGAACTATTCCTATTTGTAGCCTAAATTATACAAACAAAAATTACTCGTTTACTTAGCAACATACCTTTATGTTGATTAAAAAAGTTATTAGGTATTTGCAACAAAAAATACATACTGAAACCACTACGTTACGCTGACGTAAAAACTCGTTCCATTTTGATACAAATAATAATATTACCACAATATCGTTAACCCTCATTCTTAGCGAAGGCACACACGCGTTTACTTTATTTTTAAATGTAACCTTCCGTAACAAACGACTATTAAATTACCAAGTTACAACGCCTGTTGTAAAGAGTAAAATTGCATTTATTCATCCTTTTATTCAAACTGATCGGGTTTTCATATCGCATTGCTTGCATTAAGGTTTAAGTTTAGACTGTTTGGGAAGAGGAGAGAAAAATAGAATTAGAATAAGTCAGGTATAGCAAATAATAAATAGATAAAAACGGAAATAGAAATACCATATTCTATTATCGGTTAGGTATTGTGAGTTTCTTATGAGAATAGGAATTAAAAAATTATTATTGTCAAGTCATTTTTCAAGTATCAAACATCTATGAACGCTGAGAAAGCGCTGTCTCACGCGCTGGACCCAACAATATAATACTAACGGGCAATGATAAGCAACGTCTTAGAATAATTATACTAAAGAATAGATATTCAATATTTGAGTGTATTTTAATTGCTGTTCGATCAATGGCCGTCAGACTACAAAATGTATTATTATTATTATTATTATACAGACTTTGTCAATTTGCGTACACCAATATAAACAAATAATATTTTGCAATAATTTTTTATAAATACAATTAATGCAACGGCGGTTGGCTAAACAACATTTAATTTATATCTGTTGTATATAAGTTGTGTCGCTATATAATTACGAAAATTATATAATGACACAAATTATATACAAAAATACTAAATCTACTATAATGTTAGTAATACTTGGAACGGTCGAAAGTTTTTCAATGGCCTTAGTCGCTAATAAAAATCGTCGATTCTTCACTTGCTTGCAAACGTGATAGTTAGGCGATAAATCAGTAATTGATCGTGGACAAAAAATAAAAAACAATCCATACTCAGAAAGACACAATGAGACTGTTAATCAAAACAACCAAAAATGCTGATATTGTAAATGCGATGGGCTAACATGAAAGTTTTTCTCCTAGTCGCTTTATTATGGGCTGGGCCTGTGTGATTGACGTTTATACAAATCATAATTTGTAGACAAATATTCCAAGATTCAGGGAAGCGTAATTCGATGAGTGTAGAATTATGGCTATTTACTTGACGTTATATCGAATTTTTTACACTCTTCCCTAGCAAGGTATTAACTCTTCACTAGGCAAATAACTCATAAAAACATAAAATTGTCATAAGTCAAAGATATATTACTATGTAATATCGGATTATCTAAAGTCATTGATATTAAAACTTTAACTCACTAATCTCTTTAATCGTTAATAAGATATTTAGCTATGCTAGCGCGGATAAATTACTCCTGAAGAACGAGTTGAATACTCCACTTATAATTATTCTTACGATAGCAATATGCGCATATCAGATTTAACAACAGCATTCTAATTAGTGAACAACAGGAAGATTAAACGTAGGGACATGTTTAAATAAATCAAACACAGTAATTGGAAAGGTCTGCTGAAATCTTGTATAATTATTTATAATAATAACTATCGCGAGGAACTTTTATTCACAACGAGGTGCTCGCTAAAGCCCAGTTTAAGCTGTTTTTATTTTTTACATAGTAAATTAAGAGAATAAAAGTCCAGAAAAGGCGGATTGTTTGTTCTTATGTAGGGGGGATGTATCTAT